CATGCCCACGTAAAGGCTCAAAGGATAAGCCTCTTGGCTGTCTAGGAAGTCCCATGTCCAAAGCCGTCCGGCGTCGCATTCAGCCTTGAGGCCTACAACTGAACTGCGGTAGATGGCAAAGTTTCGGCCTATAGGTCAGTGTCCACATGGCAAAATTTGATCGTTTCCCATATGCGGTTCCTCTTAGTCTACCCTCCACCACGCGCATTGCCGAATCCAATTCCACAGCTTCGCTTGTCGGCTTCTGCCCCAGTTAAAGTCTCACTTCCAAGGCTCTATCCATCTGTACCCTGTATCCTGGCTCTGGCCAACCTCGTAGCCCCGTCCGTAGGTGTCCGTACATATTCCGAAAAAGCGAGCCGCTCAATGCCAAACGTCGCTGTTAAATTCTTTTCAAGTCTCCTCGCCACACCCACTCCAAAGCTCCCGCTCACTGCCATGCTCGCGCCGAGCGCAAGGTGTCAATAACCATGTTTGACAACCTCCGCAGTGCAGTGTCCTTTACTGCGCTCCCCACTGCCGGGGTCGGCGGATATATACGACGCGCATGTCTATTCTGTTGCTTGATTCGGATTTATACTTGGCACTTTTGTTTCCTATACAAGCACATATGATCACATATGCGTATATATTCTTAAAAACTTGATTGGTAAGTCATGCGTTTTGGATTTCGCTGCTCCAAGAATACTGCAATGGCAAAAAGACCCGAAAACTGAGCAAGGAGAAGAAGCAGAAGAAAACAATTCACACTTGTATGTTTTTATTCTATACTACGATACGTAGTTATTTTACAAAACTTTTGTTTTAGTACATTTCTTCTATCTATGTTTTTGTTTGCGGTTCTGGTGCGCTTTGAGCCCTTTGAACATTGCGACGCTTCGAGGTGAAACCATAAGGCTTGATTTGAACCCGCGCAGATCTCAGATGTGCGCGCGCTGTGTCAGATTTCTTGGCGTTGGTATTCCCGAAGGATACAAATGTCTTTGGCCGTAGCAGATCTGGCCAAACTGAGATTTATCAAGCAGGACTTTTTTGTTGAGCCATATTGAGTTTTCACACAAGTATTCGTTATATCACATTCACCAGGATCCTCACATGGTGTTCTCCAAGTTGCTGCGTTCAATTTCAGACGCGGCGTCCCCAGAGTCTGACCCCTGACACTGCGTGCCTGTGCGCAAGTTGAAAGATAATCCATGTGGGACGATCGGTGACTTATTGTTTACTTTGTTTCACTTTGACAGACTTTGTTTGTTTCACTTGCGGCTGCAAACTCACAGAAACCAGAAGGTTGTATTACAGTGTATGTCCACAAAGTAAATAGACTAATTAAACTCAAGGCAATTGAAGTTTCTAGATACAAAGAAGTACTTGTACGCGAACCTTGGAATTTTTATTGGGTAGCTCCTGTGGCCGTGACAAAGATGAACCAACCAATCTACGTGGTTACTGCTGGTAGACGCGGGGCACATTCCAGAAACGCTTCACGAATCAGTTTTAATCACATTCAACCAAGCCGCACGCCTGTGCCCCGGACTTGCTCTGCTGCTGTTCCTGCAGGTAAGAACTGTACTTTCGATTTTTCTCGCAATACATTTTTTGCTTTGAGTTTAACCAAGCGTTCCTGCAAGAGTTCAAAGGCAAACGGAAGGGTAGTGCACAGAAAGGGTTTTGCAAAAACCTATTCTACTAACGTCGGGGAAGGCGCGTGACCTTCGTAGAACCCAAGGCTGTTCGTGGACAGTTCGTGGAATGGTGGGCCAGTAGGAGAACTGACTGCAACGAAATCCCAGAAACCTTCGCAGAACTCCGTGGAAGGTATTTTTGATGCACTAACTTCGTATAAGCGATTTTTGCTGACCCCCTTTCTCCACACACCCTCCGTTTAGCCTTCAAGAGTTGAACCCGACTATAGAAGGAGCCACTTGTAGGCGAACTCTTGTTTTGTGAGGGAGGGGTTCGCCTTCCCATACGTTTGTCATTCAACGTTTCGCTTCTTTTCTTCATTCATTATATCTCTATATTCTCAACTCATTCGCCCTGTTGCCATCGTGGCCCTTGCATCTCATTGAATATAAGGAAAGCGCGGAAGAACCTTCAGCAAGGAAGAATGCGAAAGTTCTCGAACCGCAAAGTAGACGGCAAGAGCCATTGCAATGGCAAGGCTTCGTTTTGATTCTTTTTCATCTTTAGTCACAGCAAACAAAGGTGTCTCCTTCTCTTGGTGGTTTGGCTGCGGGCACCTTAGTCAATTTGCCAGTGGGGCTGCAGCGGCTGCGTTTGATGTGTGGGTTCTAGCCAGGTCTGCCACGTGGTGTGTGCCCTGGCCAGGGCGAGCGATGCAAGGACCCTTTCATGGAGAAGCAAGAAAGTCCTGACAGTCCACACCAACGAAGATAGCTTTCAGATGTTGCTTTTAAACAAGCTGGAGGCAACAAGTTGGGAAGGGGGGCAGACATTTCTTTGTTTGTGGACGCAGCGTTGACAACAAGTGCTTGGATGACCTTGTGGAGGCCTAATAGGAATACGCCGGAAATTATTCAGTCTAGTCTTGCAAGAGTGACACGTTCAAAGGACGTGTCCTTGCAAGTTTGCAGCTTGTTTGACCAGGCGCAGCTTTTGAATAGAATGGATGAGTTGCAGCCGCAGGTTTGGGGTTGACCGTGCTTAGCATTTGCACTTGTTCTTCTTTAAAACATTGTATTATCCATGATGTATGGTGTTTCTTTCATATATAGACACATAGATATATATATATAGTGGAAAACAGACCGCTGTGACGCAGCTAGCGGGCTTTTCCTTGGTCGAAGCCGAAAGCCTAGATGTGAACCTGACGTGGATGCCATGTGCCAAGTCAAGACTTCATGGATGCAACTGTCATTGCGTCATGACTTATAGCCTCTTGGATTGCCCATGGAAAAGGGCGTCTGTGGAGAGAGGCCATCTCTTCAGCGTCCAATAACAGGACTTGTAATTCATGACACTCGCCACGGATCTTGGGCCCGGATTCTTCCGTCTTCGTCTTGTCTAAGTCCGGCGAGAGAGGTGACGTGTCATGTCTACTAGGCCATCAGCCATTGCGCAAACTTCACCTTCACAGTGTCTGGGGAATTGGCAAGCTCAAAGAAGCTCACGCCCTTGTTTTCCAATCTTGCAGGTCTTGGTGCCGTGCAGCTGTATGTCGCCGTAGCCACCCTTGGGGCGAGCCACCAGTGTGTGGTCCCTGACGATTTCATCGACCACTCGGCCCTTTGCAGCATCGGTCATGGAACCCGCACCTTCTCACGGACCACATCCAAATCAAAAAAGCTCTTGTTCCAGCTCTGCCAAGAGGGAACGTAATTACTGAGCCTTCCTCCCTCACACGCTGAAGGACCAGGACCTCTGCAGCTGCGTGAGATAGATGCTGATTTGTACTGGCCATGGTGAGGCCAGGATGCGTCAGGCTCGAAAAGCCGGACTTGAAACATGCAAAAACAAGCATCGCAAAATCCTGGCTTTGCGACAGTGTCATCCCAAGCTCAAAAATTCTTCAAGTGTTTCTCACCCCTGACCCTTCGGCTCGTTCGAAGGCGCTTCGAGCGTGCGACGTTGGAGGTCCTTCTCTGCTGCTTGCGTTTTTGGAACTGTCTCTTCAGGAGATTTTTGGCAAGTTGGTTGTCCCATACACGCTCTTAACAAATCAATGAGATCACCTGCATCTTTTGTTAGGCCATCTTACGATTGGTTGGGAACATACCTCGCAATTTCATTCGTCAAGCGGCAACTTTCTCGGATGATGACTACGTCAATGCTTGCTCTTCTGTCTTCAATTGACGTTGGGGAGGACGGTGAAGATCATACAGGCCTTTGCAGTCGGTGACACGGTCGGCGGTCATCTTTTGTAGCTTCTCCAAGCGACGGGAGACCAAGGTCAGTTCACGGCGCTTTGAAGATGACGCCAGTTCAAGCGCTACGCAGACGACCCTATGGTGATGCATTTGTGCTTTTGGAGGCGCATCCTTTGCTCTGGATGAGCGCAAGTCCAAGTACGAGCGACGACGGCTTCGTGGTTGGGAAAGATGGGGCTGATCAAGACATTGTTGATTTTTCTTTGTGAGAGCAAGAGCAGTCCGAGTTCGACAAGAAGCTTTTGATTGGCTATAGAGATTCTGCCAGGTTCAATGAAGAAAGCGGGTGAATTGACAGAACAATGAAGGTGAAGCTTCGTGAACTTCCTCCACCAGAAACTCTTCCTTTCAAGGAGGCGATGGACAAAGATGCCAAGGAAGGGATTGATGATCAACGAGCCCATCCTGACAGCGACGATGAAGATGAGTACACGCCAAGTGTTGCAGGCAGGGCAGGAGAAGATGAAGAAGAAAGCCCGAACAGATGACGGACCTGGACGTGCAAGTGACGATCCAATGAGCTTGAGCATTCCAGTGGATGATAAGAAGCACGGGCTTGAAGTCCGAAGAAACCACCATCAAAGCGTTAACGCCGACGGAGCACCAAAGAGACAAGAGTTGCGCTCCCACTTGGGCTGGCAACATCAACGCGGTGAAAATTAACGACGGCGTGTATGTGGACGAGCAGAGTGACCTTCTAGAAGCATGGACTTTTGACCTCGAACATCAGCCAGAACTGGAGATAGAGATGGACACAGCAGAGAGAACAATTGGTGACCGTGCTGAAGGAGATGGGCCCTCCCAATGTCAGTGAAGAGGAGTTGCATCGGCTTGGCCAGAAGGCAACGCTAGAGGAATTCAACAGACTACAACAATTTGATGAAATTCTAGCAGCGGCAGATGACACTGCCACAGATGAAGAGCCGCTTTTGCTGGACACAACATGACGTGTGTTTTCGAGGTACCAAGGGCGCGTGGAAGAGGCGGTGTAGGATAGTAGCAAGAGAGTACAGAACAGGCAATACAGGTGAAAGCCAAATCAATCTTACTCCCGCTGGGTTCACGATGAGACTGATCTTGGTATTTGGAAAGCCCTTCGGCTTGTGCTTGTTGCAGACATCAGGGATGCCTTTAAGTGAAGCAAAGTGAGCTTGTGGAGGCGATTGTCCCAAGCTGGGTGAGAAGCCTAGCAGCAGAATGATGGCGACTACTGAAGCGTTTGCCAGCGCAACGAAACGCAGCTAGGAGATGGAGTGAAAATTTGCGGAAGCCAACGGATGTTCCGATCTGTTTTGGGGTTGGCGCTTTACATTGCGCAGGATAGACCAGACATCAAACAGTCTTGGAAGACCTTTGTCAACCTACATGGCTGGAGGAACAAAGTTGGTGTATGCAGCATTGAGGCATCTCGGGAGTTACCTACAAGGAACTCAAGATGCTAACAGAGAAGGCAGAAAAGTCTACAACCTTGAAGTGCTCACAGACGCCAACGGGGCAGGATGCAACGTGAGCAGGAATTCGAAATCAACGACCTCATACAGGGTTTCCCTGAACGGAAGCTTGCGTGTGAGCTGTCACGCAGGCTACAGTCTTCGATAGCTTTGTCAAGTGCAGAATCAAGAATAAATGCTTTACGCAGTAGTGGCATGGCAGAGATGTTGCGCGTCGGAAGTTTGCTTCGATTTCTAGTAGGAGCCAATGAGGCGCGCGTGACTGCATTCAGTGACAGTTCAGCAGCATGTGGACTTGCGCAGAGGGCTGGAGGAAAGCCGAAACACATTCTGGGTTAAAGACTTGGTGAGAGAAAAGGTGGCGAGACTTCTAAGAGTCCCAACCGCGATAAATCCGGCAGACCTCAACACAATGAGAAGTTATCGCAGCAGAGACGAAGGAAACTGATGAGTTTAATTTCAATGGGACACCAGAGCCGTGTAGAGATCGAGACCATTGGGCCAATCCAGAAAGAGGTGACCGAGAATGATCCTAGCTGGTAGTACATGTTTCGTGCAAGGGTGCGTGAACTTTGCCGCGCCGGGTGACGTGACGCGGAGCGACTATACATCGCGACCAGGATCTTGAAGACGCTGGCGTTGACTCTTCTCAGTCTCATCCTCTACCTGGTTGATGCTCTAACAGTGCAACATCGAAGACTTCAATTCTCACAAGGACAGGCAACTATCTTCGAGCTGGGGAACAGATGGCCAGGAGAAGACTCTTTGCTTTGGGTCACAGGTCAAGCTTCCTCTAGAGATGCAATGAGAGCCTGATTGCCATGTTTCGTGAGAACCCTATAGTAGTGGAAGTGAAGCTTGGAAACGAGTTTGAGGAGATTGTGAAGTCGCAGGCAGCGAGGAAGACGTATGGCAATAAGTAGATTGGAAATCACCTCATCAGACACCTCTTGGGGTGAGTGGCATTGATCAAGAGATAGCCTGGCAGGACTACCTTCGTGAAGGAGCGTGGCAAGTGGAAGTTGGTTGAGATGGCTATGCCTCCGAACCTGGTGATGGAGCAAGAGGAGAAAGTAGAATGCTTGATGGAAAGAGCCTGAGTGTTGACGGCCTTGTCAGCAGGTGAGCATCGGCTAGAAGATTTTGGCTTTGAAGTCTTGGAGCCTTTGAGACAGGTAGAACAATCACATGAAGAATTTCCAGAATTCGGAATTCCAGCTGCAGAGCACGAAGAGGAACGTGTACAGGAGGAGATTGAACGTCGCCAAGTGTATGAACGAGACTCTACAATTCAATAGAGGGTAGATTGGTGCTGGGAAGTCCAGACACTGATGAAGTTGAGGTGAATGGCATCACTTTGACAAGAGATAGTCCACTTCGTGAACTTCGAGCAGCTTGCAAGTTTTCGGAATTTCACAGTCTGGGAGCGAATTGACATGCTTTCAGAGAATCGTGAGTCAATTGAAAGAAAGAGAATTCAAAGCAGCGGCAGAGGCAGCCAGCGCAAGGAAAGAAGTGCCGAGAGAGGCACGAGGACAAACCATTGTCCTAGTTCCCACAGAAGAAGAAGAGCAAGAGAAACGTGCGCCTACGCATACTGGCATACGCAGCATGCTCCATGCTGTGAAAGTTGCATCTTACATAGAGCAAGGCAGGATAGACACCTTCGAACTGGAGCAGCTAGAATGTCAGATGTCCCAGTCATCAGTTCTCGATCTTTGCTTCGCCAAAGCAGGCCTTGTCGATAGAAGAGATCCAAAGGAAGTGGAAGAAATGCCAGTCGAGGCAGAAGGAGAAGAAGCAGAGGAAAGAGGCGACCTCGGTGGAGAGAACGGATTGAAGGAAGTAAAGTCAGCAATGTGGATGATCATGACATGTTCACAAACGGGAAGTGTGGCAGCAATGTGAAGAGTAACGCCCAAAGCAACTTTGCAGCGAAAGAAGTCACCGCGTGTTGTCAACATCTTGGTCGCCGCGAAGCAGCTTTCTATGGAGACCATGAACCAACCGTCAGAGCGATTTTGAGAATCCTATTAAACAGCAGACATGCACTTGGATTGAGGACAAGAGTTCTACCCTCTCGTATTCGTGGAAACTGGCTGGCAGGATTGACGTGTACCATCATGGGGGATTTGATGTCAAGAATTCAAGTGAGGCTGAATAGTCACCCATTGTGGTCATGGGCAGCTAAGCACTCTTGCTGGATCGCGAACAGATACCAAGCCTATCATGGAGTGACAGCTTTTGAATTGGTTCATGGAAAGTGATACACAGGAAGCATTGTACCTTTCGGATGTCCAGTCTATGC